TAAATAATAAATGCAAAAAAACAATGATTATTAATTAGGTCTTTAAAGAGAACATATGATCGATTACCATAATTATACGCGTATATATATATGAATATATATTATATGACTATTATACGTATGATTTGTAAAAAAAAACTTATATAAATTTGTATATATTGATTATTCGTGTAACATTGAAAGCTTGAACTTTTCCTAAAAACCATTCGGAGAAAAGAATAAATTAATTGCATTTACAAAAACATTCACGCTAAAGAAAAAAGAAAAATATTATAACAATTATGCGTATAAATAAAGCAAACAATAAAACTATTTAACCCCCCTCCTTTATAAACGCGTTTCAAAATTCTAGGTTTGGCATCTCTTTGTAAGCCAATGAACCCTCAAATAGAAAACAACACGCGAATTCATATTAATATTTTTTTATTATTTTTTTTTTAATAATTTAATCCACTGTTAAATATGTATATATTAATTAAAATTAAAAATCGTCATCATATTGTAATCATATTAATTCACTATTTGTAGTTCACTATTTGTAGTTCACTATTTGTAGTTCACTATTTGTAGTTCACCATTCGTAATTCACCATTCGTAATTCACCATTTGTAATCCACATTTCTACATTTTTGTAAATATATTACATCCAAGGATTCGACTTCTTGTGCATAAATCCAATTATCTCTCGCAGAAAATCATGAAACTTTGTTATCTCTTTTGTGGAAATAAAATATGGTATGAAACCAAAAATATGAAACATGCTTTCTTAAACTTGTTTTTCTTGACGTAATTGGCACATGTAGACGCGTGTTATTATCTTCTTTTGCGTTGTAAAAATACAGATGGCGCGTTTTTTTTTACTATTATTGATTTGTTTATAAATTAAAAATATTTATATAATATTAAAATCTTTCTAAACAGAAAGTGTTTTTTTTTCAAAAATTTTGTGACAAAGTTTTAAAAATAAGTCAAGGTATTCATTTAATCACTTAAACTTTGATTACTGCGATCAATAATTTCAATAATTTCATTAATTAAAAGCACGTGATTATCAAATCTGATCTAAACTAAAAAAGAAATTACTTTTATTTCGCAGATTATTTCAAAGTGAATAAATGATAAATGGATCATTAGACATATTAAACATATTAAAAATATTAAAAAGAGAAAAGTATTAACTATAGTGTCATACATAGCATTAACGAATTATGTAGCTGATAATGTATGCATGTGATAAAGTTTTTGATGTTCTTAATTGACTACGTATGTCAAATACATCGGTTAATTATTTCTTGTATATTTAGTTAGTATTGTGTTCTTGTATGCATTAACTCGTAACACAAAGAATATATTTGAAATATTACCATATTAACTTTATATTGTTATTAAACGAAATATCAAAAAAAATCTACTTTGATAAATACCGAATAATACTCAGGTAGTGAGCGATACTCGGTACGTACCGGCCGAATGTGCAATAAAATGAACAATGGGAAGCACAGATCAATACATTTAGGAAAATCTTGTGCACTGAGTCACACGATCACCTTCCATTTTTGATATTAGTTTTTTCCTTATAGAGAGTAATAGATCATTTATATCAATCTAGTTAATTTAATTATTCACTAAAAATTTTCCGAAATACGGAATTTAGAATCATGAAAAAAAATGACCATTTTCCGTCTTCTGATTTATGACTTGTGTTATACAACTAAATTTCATAATCACATAAATTTCATAATCACATAATGCATGGTCCATTGGTATAATAAGAAACATACGTATAAACTTTATTTCTATTTTATTCGTAGCTCCTTTAAAATTAAACGTGTACTAGTAAAATTACTGCATATTATCTTGATCCTTTTAACATCCACTTCAAGTAAAAAAAATAGAATATACTGTATTAGAAAAAATTCCTTTATTACTTTAAAGAGTTTAATTACTGTATGTCGTCATGCTTGTAAAATAATTTGTTAAGCCTCAATGTCTTATATCATATTTGTTAATTTTGATTATCATATCAATTTTTCTACTAATCCCGAAAAGAAATTATGATAAAAAATCACATCAGAATGAGGTGATTAATTATCATTCATTCTTGCAATTTTATAATTTATAATTTTTTAAATTTTTAATAATTATTTATTGTAACCAAAGATACATATAAAAAATACTCATTCTGCAAATTATGTTTTGCAAATATACTTTTTGTGTCGGCCGAAGATTCCGAGATAATCAAATATCTTAAATTAGGTATCGGAAATGCCGGCCATCTGTTATTTAACATTGTTTTTTTAAAAAAAAAAAGATCATCGGAATACAAATTAAACAGGCAATACAGCAAATAGCGGAAATAACGGGCAATAACGAATTAGCCAATCAGAAAATTAGAGGCATAAGGAGGCATATCTAAGCCTAAATCCTATCTAAGTCATTAAAGAATACGAAATTTCTAATTAGTCAATTTTGAATTAAGTACGTGAATTAAAGAGAATGATAATGCACGTTTCTTATTTACTAAAGTATTGTTATTTGCGATATTTTTTTATTATACATGTCAGGGTAAACATTATAAGAAACATATAATTAAAAATTTTTTATAATCATGCTTTGAATCACCATAAAATAATTATTAATTGGTTCATTTCCGCATTTCAGTATTTTAAAAGATGACTCGGCACGAAAATCTTCAACAGGCAAAAAGGTTATTCCACATTTGTGAATCAAGTATGAAACACCCGATGTTATCGAAACTATTTAGTTTTTTTTTTTTTGTATCTTTTTTTTTTTTTTGTAATACTTAATTAATTATTTATTTTGATCACGCACTGTGTTTACTAAACCATGATGGCTTTTTCCGTAAGAACAGGTTTTTAAGAATGTTCTTTATTTGGTAAATTATTATGTCGGTTTGTGGAAATAACCTCTTTGGGAATTCAAGACAATTTAAATTTTTCCTTTTCTCTGGCTTTATTTTTCTTTATAATTAAATGTTATTGGTAACATTGACTATGTATAATAAGGGTTACAATGATTAACTGATATCATAAAGTTTATAAAATAATTTTTTTCGATTTTACAATTGTTCGGAATAAAGTGTGTAATTGTAATGACTTAAATGTAAAGATTTGAATGTAATGGTTTAACTGCAGTGATTTGAGATCAATATACGCGAACACACGACTACCAATTAACATTTATAAACTTCCTTTTTTCGTCAAGAAGTAATTGGAAAAAATTCAAATTGTAATTTTTTTTTCTTTAATTTGTTCTTTTAAAGTATATGTAAAAAGTATGCACATACACGAATACCCTTTTCCTTTGAACAAAGAATACATTACTGTAATGTGCGATCATGAGGCATATATTAACATGGTGAGAACAAAATAATAGATTTAAATGCATGCATGCACAAATATACTGTATATACTACTACTACTACTTTTACTGTTACTACTACTGTTACTACTACTACTATTACTACCGATTTTATTGTTTTTTTTTTTTTTTTGCTTACGCGTCAATCCAACGAAATTCGACAATATTAGTGTTTACTTGTTCAGGAAAACAAAAAAAGATATGCTTGGCAGTATAATTCATTCGTTCAATGTCAGTTCGGGATTTTCCGTTGAAACGACATTTAAAGTTGTTATCTCAAACATCTTTTTGTTTGTTATTGTTGTAACGGTAAGATAGTATTAATCTTAATGCATCAAATGCATCATATTATCACGTATTGTACCAATATCATTGTACGTGCCCTCACGCGAAGTGATAAAAAATATGTAATATGGTAATTCATGGTCTAGATGTTATAATCTATACAATCTATATAATCCATACAATATTAGTTAGTGTACCGTATAATAATTGCTGTTATATTCCAGAAATATATAACAGATAATAAAATAATAATATATAATTTACTCGGATAATTTTCGGATAGTTTAACGGATAATTTAATAATACTAAATGATATCTCTAGGGTTAATTTAAAGTGGTACTTTAATTAACTTATAATAAGTTCTAATAAATTCTAATAAGTTTTAATAAGTTTTAATAAGTTTTAGTAAGTTCTAATAAGTTTTAATAAGTTCTAATAAGTTCTAATAAGTTTTAATAAGTTCTAATAAGTTTTAATAAGTTTTAATAAGTTCTAATAAGTTTTAATAAGTTTTAATAAGTTCTAATAAGTTATAATAAGTTCTAATAAGTTCTAATAAGTTTTAATAAGTTTTAATAAGTTCTAATAAGTTATAATAAGTTATAATAAGTTCTAATAAGTTCTAATAAGTTTTAATAAGTTTTAATAAGTTCTAATAAGTTCTAATAAGTTCTAATAAATTCGTCTTTTTCAGTAAACTGGTAATTATCATATTATGTGAATAATATCATAATTAATAGTATCATATTATGTGAATAATATCATATTACGTGAATACATGATAATCATTTATTTAAATGCTAATCATTTAATTTAATTATTAAATTTGATTATTTAATTTAGGGAATCAACACTTTTAACATTTAAAGATTTACTTTCAAGAACTAAACCGTCAACAGCTTAATTTAGGAATTTTTAATAACAATGATCATAATGATTATAATGATTATAATGATTATACAAATTATACAAATTATAGTCCTATTAAAGGGTCATGCCGTTACCAAATTTGATAGATAAGTAATTTTTTCAAAGTAACACATGATCTTTAAAATCTTGTTTAACCTAACACGTTAATAATATTGACCCCGGTTTAAATTTAAAAATTATTTTTACATTTAGGATATATTTGGGTTATATAATTTACTAAAAAGTGGCTTGAATTTTTACGAACCATTCATTGTTAATGTACAGCACTGTTAATCTTATTTGGTTTATGATCGAAGTTGTGATTCTTGTAGTATTCTGTTACTCACCTTACTCACCTTATTATTCACCTTAAATTGACCAATAGCGATGACCTTTTTTGTTCTTTATATCTGTATATTCATTATTATAGTATTTTATTAACGTCCTGTATTCCAAATTTGGAATGTTGATTTTCCTGTTTAACAGTTAAATCAGCTGCTAAAAACGAGTCGTCATAATAGCAAATAAGCTCTAATGACACCACTCATGCATTTATTCTATATTGGGTGAAAGACAAAGACAATACAAACAGTCTTTATTCTTACCGGACGAAAAGAGAAATTTTTCAATGGTATAGATAAATATCCTAACAATTTTTCTAAATTTATGAATATCTTTAAGAATATCAGAATATCAGGTGAATACACATCAGCCATGTTCCTTGTTCTTGCTTCTGTGATATGATGATATATTTTTTGTCACCCATTAAATCATCGTCATTCATAAACTTTATTCACAATTAACTACAAATCGTGTCGTTCTTAAACAAAGATACCAACTAGAACCAATATAATTCCAATAAAAAAAAAAAAAAGAGACAAAGGTTTTAAAGATGAACTTTGTTAAATGTTTTTCAAGTACTCAAGTATTTAGAGTTTATTCCGATAATTTAATCTTTTCTTTAAAATTTTTTACAGTATTTTATTTTACTTTATTTTATTTTATTTTTACGATATCGTGATTCCATTTAAGTACACTTAAATGATTGAGATTTTTTTTTAACATAACGAAGTATTACACGTAGACAAAGAATAAATAATAAGATGACGCAATTATTACCTTTTTTTTAATAATACTATATAAAATTCAGAAACTGTGAAATGACTAAACTATCCATTAAAATCATCGTAAAATCTCACTTAATTTGATTGGAGAAATACAGTATAATTCTTTAACGTTAATTAAGAAAAGAAAAATCATCTGACTATTAAAATCAAAGAATACTATCATAAGTTTCAATTGGTTATAAATGAATAAAGGAAAAAACAAAATAAATAAATAAATAAATTAAATATTTAGGTAACATATAAACTATACTCTAAATAGATTTGAGAATAAATTTTTTTCGAACGAGAAATTTGATTAGTTTGATTAGATTCGGAATTGATCTACAAAAATCACGAATTTTCGAAGGATATCATACCAAGGGACTAGATTTAGTAAGTATCCAATTGTAAAAATTTAATAATAATAATAAACAAGTGGTTAGAATACCTCTATGCAATAATTTGGCTGGTCCTTTTTTTTTCTGACAAATTAAGAAAATACTTCAATTACTCTTATTACGATTTACGTATTTGACACGTATCCACGTGTAGTGTATTACATAATATATAATAATAAACAATAATTATTATATATATTTTGATAATACGTAAAACGATACTTTAATATTTTCTTTATTTTTGTATCAAATTATTATATTGTTAAGTTTTGGTTGGTTTAGCGTGAATCCATTATAGCTTCATTATATCCAATGTTTCTGACAAAAATTCCGTTGATTAATAATCATTTATTGAAATTTCAACAATTGCAAGTCTGACAGTTAGGATCAAAGCTTTTTCTAATAACGTACGTACTGTACACTAATTTTTTTTTAAAAAAATAATATTGACTACACTTTTAAATTCGAAAATTATTATTTATATAACTGTCGAAATTTTTATTGTGATGTTCGAGATTTCGACAGTTACTGTTATTTACTATAGGAATTATTATCCTATGTACTGTATATTGCGTTTATCGTTATATCTGACAGAAGTTATATAAATGGTTAACTGGTAAAGATAACAACTTTTTTTTTTGCTATACGTATAAGTTATATAGTATATTATTTTAAAAAAAATTTATAATTTTTTTTGTTAAAAATACGTATCTTTTTTATAATTGTGTAGTTATAAGCAAAACTTTTACACTTTAAAAAAATTACCGATATACAGTGTATCGGCTTATGCTAAGATTTTGAGTTCTTATTTAAATCTCTATTAGCTGCTAAAGCTTATATACTCTTTATTATAAACACTAACTTTTTTTTTTGAATATCAAAATTAGAAGCTTTATTGAGATATAAAATAACCTAATACAATATATACATATTGCGATACATAGTTAAAACCTGGTAAAGGATTCTAAATCACTCGTTCTACTAAAATTTTAGACACCCAGTATGATATTGCATCTCTATTTTATCTTACTTTTAAATTTAATAAAGATTTTAAAAGTGAATTAGGCTAGAGAAAACCTTAAAATAAACACTAACTTTAATTTTTAATCTAATTATGAAAAAAAAAAATAAATTACAAAAAAAAGTTTAAAAACAGTTTTATAATTAAATAAATTATACAGTGCGGAACACCTTAATCCAGCAAGTAAAATAGGCCGTTTTTAAATTGTATTATAAAAATAACTAGCATAGCTAGAACAATTTTTTTTTTGTAAAAATATGAAGAATAAAGTTACAGAAATTATTTTTTAATTTATTAAATTTTGATATTGTAAGAAATTTTTAAAGTTAACTGTTTTTACTAATAAAACTAAAAATTTGGCCACTATAATTCTGGTAAAATTATTATAGTTCTGGCCAGAATTATAAATTTTTTTTTTTTTAAATTTTTAAAATTCTTTTAAAAATATTATTTTATACTATATTAGCCAATCATATAGCTTAATTTTTATATAAAGTTACATAACATAACCATAAAATTTGGCCACTATTTTTTATACTTGCTAGTTTAAGATAGTGTGCACTTATTTGTACAAGTGATACAAACCCAAAAAGAGAAATTAGCCAATCGGAAAATGTAAAATGTGATTATCCTGAATTAGCCCAACATGTGAACAAAACAAGAAAAACATAAAGAAAAATAAAAAAAGTGAAAATACAAGAAAACGGATGTTTAAATCAACCTTGTTAAACTAATAAAAAATAACAGAAATAAATTTTGCATATAAGAACCTATAATTTTATATTAAAGCTCACAACCTTAACACTAACTCTAATATGCTAACTGTAAATTTTAGTTTTACAAACTTAGTTTATTTTTATATAGAATTTTCTTTTTGGGGTTTGTATCACTTATACAAATAAGTAAACTCGTTTAAGATATCTTGCATCATAGTAAATTTTTAATATAAACCAATTTTAGTATAAAGCTACTATATTATATTAGATATTTTGAGTTGTAATAAAGTAGTATAATAATTAAATATGGCAAATTATAATAAAGTCAAATTATAATAAAACTTAACTTATTTTATATCTAATTATTAAATTTTTTTTGTACTTATTTATTAAATTTTTTTTATAATTAAATTAAAGTTTAAAATTAAAATTATTAAAAAAAAATATAAATAAATTTTGATAAAGCTTATATATTTAAATTAAAATCTTCAAATTTTACAATAATTTAATTTTATTATTATTTGAAAATTTTTTTTAGTATAGTTCAGTGCAAATTTGCAAAAAATTAAATAATAAATTAAATAAAAATCTGTACAAAACTTTAGATTTAGCAGATATAGCTATAGAAATTAAATACAATTTTATACAAAATTTTAAATTATAAAAACTTTGCAAAAAATTTTACAAAAATCTATATTCTTTGTAAATTTTTGCAAATTTGCATTTATTTAAATTTTTTATAATAATTTGCAACAATAATTTAAACTTAATTATATATTTACCAAACTAAAACTAAAAAAAATACTACTTTTAACAATTCTATTTTTTTTTTTTTTTTTATTTTGGCAATCCTGCTTTACTTTATTTGAAAAACTGTATAATTATATAATTATATTTATATTTATACATAAAACTAAAAAAGCTCTAAATATTGTTTTAAATACAAAAAAAGCTTACATGGCTACCTCATCATCTACAAATTTTTGCTAACCATTGGTGTCTATATATGATCTGTCTTAACAATATGTTCTCTCCTTCACAGGGCTCTAACTTTTTAGAACTTATCTGTGAGATCAACAATAGCCAGTTGTTAGCATGTCAAGATTGCTTATTTCTTCTTTCTTACAACTTCTCTCACCTAGATCTGGGCAGAAAAGTTAATTTCCTACTTCTACACAAAAAATCAAACCAATTGCTATATTTACAAAAGAAACAAAACAAATTTAGAAAAGAAGAAAACTAAAAGAAAAGAAACTAAAAAAAAGAAAACTAAATAAAAAAAGAAAAAATTTAATCTAAATGCTATTTGATTATAAATGAAAAAAAATGAAAAAAGCATAAAAAAAAAAAATAAAACAACCAAAATAGTATTATTATAATCTGTACCAAGATTTAAAAAATTATATATTATTTAAAAAGCAACATACATATATTTTTATTGTAAAGCTTTGCTTTACTTCTATGTTTTCTTTTATCTTGGCAAACCAACTTCAAAAATTTCTAGCTGATCCAAATCTAGTCTGCTCAAATCTAGTCCGTAGCCTGTGATCGACTCAAAATAGTAGCTCTATACTCATTTAGACCAAATACGTGGTTGCTGTCTACTGCATCATTCGAATTTAGAAATATAAACAATGCTAATCCTTTGACAAAAGAAACTATTTTGTCTACTTTTTTTAAAATTTTTTGTTACTAAGATGAGTAGATAATAAAGGCCAAAAAAGTGAGAAAAAGTGTACCAAATAGAGTAAGTGTAAGAGTTATGCTATATAAAATATTGTATTTTATCAAGCATCTACTTCTATTTTTATATCTATAGTACTTGACAAAGCTTCGGAGTTGCTCTATTACTTTTTTGCTTGATAATACCATAGCCTGCCAAGATGCCTCATTTAACTATTTGCTATTAATCTTTTTTAGCTCTACTTCAGTAAACAAAGTGAATAGACTTTGTACCCAACAGCAGCTAGGTAGAGTTTTGTTTATATAAAATACAATGTATATAGAGTTTTTATAGTCCAGTCTTTTGTGAAATTTTGGTATGAAGGATCGTTGAGAAGAGATCGTGTAATATTTGATTTATTTTATTGTTTTAACAATTCTAAAAATTTTATTTTTTATTAATAAAACTATACAAACTTATATAATTAGTTTTTATAATTTAGCTAGATTAGTAAAATAGAAACTAAAAAATTTTTTAATATATATAGCTAATAAAAATATAATATACTAATTAATAATTTAAAATTTAAAGGTCCAATCCGGATAAATCCGTCATCCATTTATCCATATCTGAATTTATCCGGATATCCATTTACTATTGGTA